GTACAGAGGCAAAATCTTCAGGTTAGAAGACTTGAAGGCACAGTGCTGTAAATGAGTTTCCTATTTCAGGAAATCACAGGGAGCATTAAACTATGTTCTCACTTTCAAATCAATTGCTTATACCCTGCAAAGCAGCCATGGTTTATTTTACTGAAGAAATTCAGAATGGGCTGGAGGGAATACTGCAGTGGAGCCACATGGAGATGAAAAATACCTAAAAAGGACCTTTTTGTTGGTTCTGTTGTTTTGGGAGAGTTTATCCAGTAATTTACAGGAGTATTTAACACAGTTAAAATTTTGGGCTCTTTGCTATCAGTGTCTGGTTTCTGTCATGTTGAAGTTAACACAGCTCTTGTGGTGATGGTAATTGGAAAGTAATTTCTCATCCATGTGGTAATTCAGCATCTGGGGCACGGAGCTTCTGCAGGCTGGCTCTGAGCTACTTTCACAAGTCCTGTACGTGCTAATTTAGATAGACTGGCTTGTGTCTCAGGACATTTTTATTCAGTGTTCTTATTCCTTGTCCTAGAGCTCCTGCCAAGGAAGTAGAACACGAGCATTTGGACAGCTGAAGCAGGTTTTATTGATAGTGTAACTTTACTGGTGCTCTTCATTGCAAACTGTTTAGAAATTGTTTGAAAAAAATGGGAGACAGGAGCCATGATAAAAAGTTGTTTTTTAAAAAAGCCATCATGAAGAGCAGGAATGACTTGAAATCACAACAAATGGCCATTAAAATAATAGCTAAAATTCACTCAATTTATAATATAAAGTCCCACAAAAAACCAGTGTTGTGGTTTCATATACACAGTGATGGAGCACTGTTCATGCTCAAGATAATGGTTCATTAGACATCAGCTCGTTCAGCTGTGATGGAAACAGCAAAACAAACAGCTGGGAATTATTGGGGAGGAGCAAAGAAATCATGGAATGGTTCTGCCTCTGTGGAAAGTGTGTGTCCCTCAGGCTGGCTGGGTCTGGTCCCCATGTCCAGAGAGCCCAGCAGGACTGGGAAGGGAGAGGAAAGCAGGGCTCTCTCAGGGCTCTGTGGAGAGCTGCACAGCAGGGTCTTAGCCAGGCTCACCCTGCATCAGAACTAGAGGGCACTGGCAGGAGAGAGCTGTGCAGGAGGAAAAGGCAATGGTTCTTTCTTGCACATAATCTGTGTTTAAGCTTTCCTGGTAATTTAGTGGGGGGTAAATTGCTGCATGGATTTAAAAATGAGTGGAGAAATGCAGAAAAGGCAAATCCTTAAGAAGCTGGGAGAGAGCACATCCCCTGAGCTGCTGGGGGGTGGCTGGAGGTGCCTGCCCTCCCTGAGAACCATCTCTGCACATCCCAGTGCCTTTTTTGCTGCTCCTCCGTGAGCAGCTGCTGTTGGCCAGGCTCAGGGTCAGGGTAAGGCTGGCCAGTCTGCTGCTCTGACCTCATTCTTGTACTCTGCAGTTTTTAGAATCCCTTTCTGTCTCTTGACTATCCTTTTATGCAAAGGTGTGAACAATCTGAACTTCTCTTGTTTATCCCATAACTTGATGCTGAATTGCTGGAACAAATTCTGCTGGATAAAGCACCTTTTCAATAAATATGCTGTAGATTTTGACTCATGCTTTCTGGTAAGGAAATTGGATAAGCTTAGACCTTTGTGGCTGTAGAAGAAGATGTAGCTGTGGTGTGTTGCCCTAAGAGCTGCTGATTGTGTTTGTGTCTCAGTTAGCTGTGGCTCACCTTGAGGGCTTGCTCATGTTCTCAGGTTCTGTTTGAGCCTCTCTGGGCTAGCTGATAAGTTGAATTACTTGAGTTGCTGCCTTCCCTTGGATGTACATATCCACAAGGACACCTGGACAGCTGCAGTAATGCAGGACATGGTGGGGTGGGTGCACAACTACGGCACCAGAGCCAATCTAAACCTTCCTTGGGTCAACTTGAGGCTGTAGTTGCATTTCAGTGTTACATAATGCTTCACAAACTTGTTACAAGTCTGTTTTGTTGATTATGTTATTTTTTCAGTGTGAGTCAGACAGTCAGTCATGGTTAGCTTGTGTGGAAAAGCAATTGCAGGAGAAAGGTTTTTATTTTCCCATTCTAAAAACCTAGCTTTGAAGGTCCCCCACTTAACAAATGATTACTTTCTCATGCCTTTTAAATTCATTAGGGACCAAAATTAAACAAACTGAAGCATTAAGTTATTTACTTTATCACTGTTGCTAACTACATCACAGAAATCATGAGTAATACCAAAAACCTTTGGACACAAGGTTTGCCAGCTGATTTCTGCATTGTTCCAGAGTTCAGAGCTCAGTTGTCCTGCTCAAAACTTCTTTTCCTTACATTGAGGGTGGCATTGCTGCAGATTTATTACTATTCCACAAGAGAGACTGAGTTTAGCCCTTCTGTGAGGATGGGAGCACATGGTGTATCCTGACCCACAGGAGTGACCTTCACACCACTCTGAAATCCCTTTGTGGCCTCAAGGTGAGGGACTCTGAACTGTTTTGGGGTCCTGTAAGAATATTGGATTCTCTGCTATGTACACAATTGTTATTGTTAGGTTGGACATGACATACACACACATGTTTAGGGTCCAAGAAGAAAAAAGCTTTTTATTCTGCATGTTCTCCAGCTTATATACTCTTAACAAAGTGTGATCTTAAGTCAGTAACTACGTCACAATAACCTGTTATATTCATTGGTGCAAAGAAATTAGCATCAATATAATTGGCAAAAGTTTTACAGAAATTTAATAAGGCACATATACACACCCACTTAAGCACGTAGTCTAGCTTACAGAAATTTTCATGTATCTTTTCTAATCTATTTCCATGCTGATGGCCTTGTCTTCTTCCTTGCTATGGATGCACTTAAAAATCATGAATTATTTCTTCTATTAACTCAGCTTTCCATGCAGGCCAGCTGTCAAGCCTCTCCATACATAATGAAGCAAATTCCAGCTACATTGAACTCCAGAAAAGTGGGGTCTTGGTTTAAAGGAAACTATAAATTTTCTTTGTGTTCACTTGTTATTTTTCCTGGACGTTCTTTCTAGTTTAGAGGTATAAGAGAACTTCAAAAGGGCAACCTGGTGTTGTACAGTACCACACTGTGCTATTGAAGTTACAGCCTAGAAATAAATTTTTTTTAAAAAATTATAAAAGAGAAGTAAAAGCATAATTTCACACTGAGTAATAAAATTAAATTGTTCTGGCTTGAAGGAATTGTGCAGCATTGACATAGTAACCTGTACTGTGCATCAGCCCTAACAGATTACTGTAAATCTCACCTAAAGGTGAATGAGTTGGATTGTTTCTCTTTCTTTATAAAACATACTGAACTGTTTTGGAGTCACAACCAGGACTCCTTTTGAGGAATGGTCTATCAGAGGCATTTACTCATATTCTCATTAATCCTAAGGTTATTGTAAGAGTATATGATTAACTTTAGAAGGGCCATGCTTTATCCCCTGACACAAACTTTAAGCTTGCTTCTTCCTGCTCAGCCTGCACAGATGCTCTCTCCAGCTGCTCATTTGTTGCACACCTTTTCATTTACAGATGGACTGCAAGTGTGCTTTGGTCCCTGCTTTTGATGGGTCCAAATGACTTGGATGTTCAGAAGTGATCAGGCTAAGGGGTCACACATGTATGACATCTGCACATCTGGCAGCAAAGCAGATCTGACACCAGTCCAATAGGGAATCTGCCTGAATGCTCAGCTATTGGGAGGTATTGAAAGAGCAGGTGAGCTGTTGCCTTCCTGCTTTTCTGGTCCATGCCCAGTGCTGTTTGTTACCTGCTGGAGGGTGCTGGGTGAAGCCTGGCTGAGCAGCTGCATGCCTGCAGCAGGTGCATTGCAGCACAGCTGCACAGAGGGCTGCAGGGCAGGGCTTGGGGTGCACAGAGAGACACTTGCTGGAAGTTTTGTGCAGGCTGTGCTGGCTAAAACACATTGGATGAATAAATAAATCTGTTTTCAAAGACTATGTTCTAGTATTACCTAGCTTTAATGTGTTTTTGCTGGTCTTAAATACAGCTCTGTTTCAGATTGTGGCAAAAACTTAAATATGTGGGAGTAGGACTGTAATTGTTTCCCATTTTTATTCAGTGGTGTACTGTACTGTTCCATACTGGTTAGTGTGTGTGAGGAATAAGATTGTTCTGTGTATCATACAGGTAGCAAAAGCTTCAGCACTCTAAGAACTTTAATATAGGTAGTCTGGGGATATGTTCTGAAAAGTCACATTCCTTCCCTCACTAAGAGCACAGTCTGTTCCATCATTTTTTTCTAGTTTTTCTTTGCAAGGGGGGAGCCATCTTAGATATCTGTGACAGTGGTGGCTGCCCTAGCACATGCCTGTGTGTGCTCTGGGAGTGTGGTTTCACATAGGTATGAGCCTTCTGCAGTGTTAGGGACTGTTTTCTGTCACATTTTTAAGGTAATGTTGGGTTCTCAGGGGATTTGTTGTCCTTCTGGAGGTTATTTTCCTTGTAATTCATCTTCTTTATTGTTTGTGTACAACACCTAAATTATTACTCCTCCTGTAAAATGTACTGCTATTTCTGCTGCAGGGAAAAAAACCAGCACAAAATCATGTTCTACACCAGAAACTACACCAGAAATGAGTGTGTGATGCTGTCCCAGTCCTGCTAGCAATGGACACTCTCTGGGCAGCATTTCTTTTTTTTTCTTTTTTTTTCTTTTTTCCTTTCTCTCTTTTTCTCTCTTTCTCTCGCTCTCTTTCTTTCTCTCTTTCTCTCTCCCTTTCTCTCTCTCTCTCTCCCTTTCTCTCCCTTTCTCTCTCTCCCTTTCTCTCTCTCTCTTTCTCTCTCTCTCTTTCTCTCTCTCTCTTCTCTCTCTCTCTTCTCTCTCTCCCTTTCTCTCTCTCCCTTTCTCTCTCTCCCTTTCTCTCTCTCTTTTTCTCCTTGCTTTTTCAGGCCTACTTGTCCCAGAGGAGAGCAGCCCCTGCGGTGATGCCCATGCTTGCAGTAACCCAGCCATTGTTGCAGGTGATCCGGAGGAGCAGCGACGAGGAGAAGCTGCTGTGCCTGGTGCGTCAGCGCGCGGGGCACCACTGCCAGACGGCCGTGATCGTCATCCTGATCCTGGCCTGGGAGGGCATCCCACACCTGCTGGCAGACACGCTGTACGAGGAGCTGAGGCAGAGCCTGCGCAAGTACGGCTGTCCCACCAGCCGCCGCTGCGCCCTCAACGAAGAGTGAGTGCTGCTCCTGAGGGACAGGGGCTCAGTGGGGCACCCGCAGTGCCAGAGCGCTGCTGGGAGCTCAGCTGGGACACCCACAGTGCCAGAGAGCTGCTGGGAGCTCAGCTGGGACACCCACAGTGCCAGAGCACTGCTGGGAGCTCAGCTGGGACACCCACAGTGCCAGAGCACTGCTGGGAGCTCAGCTGGGACACCCACAGTGCCAGAGCGCTGCTGGGAGCTCAGTGGGGCACCCACAGTGCCAAAGCACTGCTGGGAGCTCAGTGGGGCACCCACAGTGCCAGAGCACTGCTGGGAGCTCAGTGGGGCACCCACAGTGCCAGAGCACTGCTGTCACTGCAGGATCACACCTTGCTGCTGGTCTTTCCTGGAGAAAAGGCTCTCATGGGAGCTTTGTGTGCCATGCCCAGGGCTCTCAGTGTGTGCCATGCCCAGGGCTCTCATGGCAGCTGTGTGTGCCATGCCCAAGGCTCTCATGGCAGCTGTGTGTGCCATGCCCAGGGCTCTCAGTGTGTGCCATGCCCAGGGCTCTCATGGCAGCTGTGTGTGCCATGCCCAGGGCTCTCAGTGGCCATGAGCTGCTCCTGGCTCTGCCCAAACACCACCAGTGTGCCCTGTGCTCACAGCAGTGCTAACAGAGCTGCCAAGAAAGGAGATGTGACTTGGTCAAGTAGATATGAGGTTGAACACTCAAAATCAGGATCATCCTCTGTGCCTCTGAGAGGAATTTAAATTGATTAGAGAATATCTGCAACTGCAGTGCTGCCTGTGTGCTGATTGCTGTGTAGCCCACGTTTAACAGACTGAGAGCTGTATGGGAACCTGAATCTAATGGTTGTGCTCTTAAAGGGTCTACTCAGAAAGTCAAATCAATTTGGAGTTAATGGTTTTGCTGCACATAACACAAGAGCTATTGGATTTAGGGTAATGTTAAGTAGCAGGGCTATTTTCTTGGTTGAAGATGTTATCTAACAGGATAAGTCAAAATGAATGCATGGCTGTATTTATATAGCTGTAACTGTTTATATTTCTGTCCCAAATTTGGCTGTTGGGGAAGTTGAGACTGTCTCCATGGAGAAAAGTCAGCCCTCTACACAGGAGTATTTTCTTAATGGAAAATACCTGGTTAAGCCATGAATTTCACAAATTCCTTTGTTATGCTCTGTGTTATAAAAGAAATAGCAAAATAGCACTGACCTAAAAAAAACCCAGACCCAAGAGCTGTGTTGCCAGCTGACCTGCTATGTCTTTATTTCCTTTTCCAGTCGTTCTTGTGCATGTCAAGGACTTGACCCAGAAACTTGTGGAGCATCATTCTCATTTGGCTGTTCATGGAGTATGTATTTCAATGGCTGTAAGTTTGCCAGGAGCAAAAACCCCAGGAAATTTAGGCTTCTCACTGATGACCCTAAACAAGTAAGATATGTTTTTTCTCAAAATGCCTTTTCTGATGATTTTCAGAACTAGACATTCTCCACCTCTTCTCTCTCCCAGTATGTTTAACTGACCAACAAAGTTTTTGTGACTGTAGTATTTAGAATAAATGGGACTGAGATTTCATTCAGTGGAATGATTACTATGTATTTATATACCATAAATGATTCTGAATGCTTTTGTGCATGCCTGTTTAGCTCACTGTGTAACTCTGTGTGAAATTTTAATTCTTTGTAAGTAACAGCCTTTTCTAAGGACCAAGCTTGCAGCTCAGGGTTTCAGGCCTTTTGCCTTGGCACAGAAAATGTTGCACCTTGGGGTTGCACTGCTTTCCCACTGCTGTAGGACCAGCTGACAGCCTGGGCTCCCCAGTCACCAAGAATAAACTGGATTTTTTCTGTGGACAGCATGTTTTTTAAAATAGTTTTGAAGGAATTAATACACTAAAATGAAGTGCAGTTAAATGATACCAAAATTTCTGCTTATGAGTGTTAGTGATGCCATAAAGGTGAGGCAGCACAGAAAACAGGGATGGATTATGTGAAGTAACAAACCTCTAAAAAAACCCAACCACATTAGTTACTTTACATTGAAATATTTTCCTGAAGAAGGAATAAAGGTGTTGTAAGCTGGTGCACAGAGACCTCTCAGGGTGACTCCACAGTGCCTTTTGTTATGACTGTAGGTGTGTGCAACCCCATTCCCTATGGATCTCCTAGGTAAAAGTGCCACATCTTTGCTAGCACAGCTGGCATGTTTTGGGCACTCTTGGGGTTACCCTGCAGTAATTGTTCTGTGTACACACAGTGTGAGATATCCTTTCTTCTTGATAGATGTCACTTGATTCACTGCAGGTAAATATTGCTCCCAGCTCCTGACTTGTTGCCCTAAAAGGGTTTTTGAGGTGTTTCTCATGCACATGAGTGCAAGCCCTCAGTCTCCCCTGAGCTGTGTGGCTACTCACAAACCTCACTGGGGTACTCACAAACCCCATTAGGGTACTCACAAACCTCACTGGGGTACTCACAAACCTCACTGGGGTACTCACAAACCTCACTGGGGTACTCACAAACCTCACTAGAGTACTCACAAACCTCACTGGGGTACTCACAAACCCCATTAGGGTACTCACAAACCTCACTAGGGTACTCACAAACCCCATTAGGGTACTCACAAACCTCACTGGGGTACTCACAAACCTCACTGGGGTACTCACAAACCTCACTAGGGCTGAGGGAAAGCTTCTGCCTCAGCACAGCACTCTGCCCCTCTGCCCTCCTCACCGAGCACCTTCTTGAGGCTCTGCAGCCAAACCCAGCCCTGCTTGTCACAAGAGGGAATTTGTTTTATAAACTTCCACTTAATAGAAAAATGCATTTATTTGGCATCCTTGCATTTTAGGGGTCCTGTTCCTTCTCTGTCCTTTGCCTGTGTGTTGAGGTTATCCCCTGTCTGATGCTGTGCATGGAGCATTCTGTGCATGCGTTTTCCCTGTAGGTTTCTGATGCTGAATGAGAGGAGGTTAAGGGTGTAATATATTGAGGAAGGAATGGTTCCTAGGGTAGATATCCTTCTGGTAGGATGGATAATTAAGGATACATTAACTTCACTGTGGTTCAGAAAACCTTGTGGTAGCCATTTACAGCTGACAAAACTGGGTTTAGTACAAGTTAAAAATACAGCATCATCTTGTAATGTTACATGCCATTGAAAAAAGTAAAGTCTCCTGGTGTTTATGTTGGTGTTTACAGTGTGTGGTGATAAGTGGGTTTTTTAAAATAAGAAATAACAGCTTGCTTCATTTTGCCACTATGCACTGGGAGAAACTGAAGCTGCAGTTCTCTCAAAGCTTGGTCCTTGGAGGAAAAGAAATTAGGGAGTGTGTCACTGCCCTCTGCTTTCCCAATTAGTTGGTGATTTTCCTGGCAAAGCAAAAACTTAGGATAAGAATTTAGGGATTGTTTCTACAAATAAGAGCTTAAATATGACACCGCTGTGGAAGCCCACTTCGCTAATTCTGTGTTTATATGGATCAGCCATATAAAGGGAATGTTATTTCTGAATCTAGTAGTTACTTCCGTTAAGTCCTGATTTTTGCCCCTCCAAAGAACAAAATAGTTATCAGAAAATGAGAAAAGTGCCTGAAAGAAGACCTAAGAGCTGAAGATAAATGCTATTAGGAGTTTCTCACATGGTGTCAGCACAGACTAAGGCTCCATAAATAAAACACCAACAGAAGGCCTGGGCTTCCATCCCCACTCAGCTTGGGGTGTGATTTTTCTCCTCTGGATGTTACTTCTGTGGTTTTGTGTGCAACACACCTCACTCCTTGACTGCATATGGAAAGTGATGCAGAATCAGTTCCTGTGTGCTGGGTTGCTCTGACCTAGCAGGTATCCTCTATTGTTATTTGGCTGATTTCTGTTTAACAGCTTTGATGGGTTAGTCATGCAAAAGCTGGCATTTATGGTTGGTGACAAAGGGCAGCAGAACAAAGTCAGTTTAATAAAATATGGGCTAGGAGCTGACCTGTTGGGCATGTCTAAACTGGCTGAGATTCTTTTCAAGCAAGCTGCAGCACCAAATGTTGCCTTTCCCTGCAGGAGGAACTTCTTGAAAACAATTTGCAAACGTTGGCTACTGATGTGGCTCCGGTTTATAAGAAGCTTGCTCCAGAAGCTTTCCAGAACCAGGTGGGTGTGTGAGATCCAGCTCTGATAAACAGTTTCAATCCAAGGAGCAGCCCCAGAGGGTGTTCCTGATGGCTGTGCATTTGGAATCCTGGTGCATTTGGCAGGTTTCCACACACTGCCCCTCTTTACTTGAGCTGCTTAAGCTACTCATGGTGCTTAAGTAGCACCATATTTTTATCTGTGAAAAATGCTGAGAGATAAGGCTGTAAATAAAATGTTTTTCTATCCAAGACATTTGATTGTGGCTGACCTGATTATCTCGTTGGCATCCAGCCACAGATGTTGCATGTTTCATAGGAAAACATGAACCCCTGAGTCTGCCTGGCTGCCCTGATGGTGTCCCAGAGCTGTGTGTGGCTGGTGGGGTTACACAGCTCACTCTCAGTGCTCAGTGTCTGCAGTTTGCTTTCTCTCTCCAGGTGGAAAAGGCTGCCCTGGTGGTGTCCCAGAGCTGTGTGTGGCTGGTGGGGTTACACAGCTCACTCTCAGTGCTCAGTGTCTGCAGTTTGCTCTCTCTCTCCAGGTGGAAAAGGCTGCCCTGGTGGTGTCCCAGAGCTGTGGGTGGCTGGTGGGGTTACACAGCTCACTCTCAGTGCTCAGTGTCTGCAGTTTGCTCTCTCTCTCCAGGTGGAAAAGGCTGCCCTGGTGGTGTCCCAGAGCTGTGGGTGGCTGGTGGGGTTGCACAGCACTCTCAGTGCTCAGTGTCTGCAGTTTGCCCTCTCTCCCTGCAGGTGGAAAACGAGCACATGGGCCCCGACTGCCGGCTGGGCTGCAAGGACGGCCGGCCCTTCTCGGGTGTCACCGCCTGCATCGACTTCTGTGCCCACGCCCACAAGGACACGCACAACATGCACAACGGCAGCACCGTGGTATGTACCCTGCCCTCCTCACTGTGCTCTCACAGAGTGCTGCTGCTGCTGCTGGGGGCTCATTTCATTGCAGTGGTTTCACTATTAACTGCAGGTTGCCGTTTATCCATGCTCATCTTGTTTGTATATATTTGTTACTGTCTGCAGAGGGCATGGGTTCATTTTATTGCATAACAGATCAAAATGGGAATGGGAGTGATCCTTCCTACAAAATACCTCCATTTTGTAAAGACTCGTTTGTTACTGTCTACAGAGGGCATGGGTTCATTTTATTGCATAACAGATCAAAATGGGGATGGGAGTGATCCCTCCTGCAAAATACCTTCATTCTCTAAAGACTCCTGGTCCTCTGGAGAGGCCTGGCCAGAGGGCAGGTCACTTTTTCCTGGGAAAGGGCTGATACTAAAGGGAAATGATTGTCTAACCAAGGAGCTGTACAGACCGCTGTGGAGGGAGAGCTAAAGCAAACTTATTAATTAGTAACTTACCTCCCCCAGGCTCACCAAATTCACTCTTTCTTGCACTGGGCACATACCAGGTTCCCTGTTAGTGTAGGTACAGGTCAGGAAGCAGACAGTATGGATTGTAGTGGAGCCAGGTGACCATTACAGTCTTTGAATCTCAGTATGAAAGGAAAACCCACAGATTGGTGTGGCTGTGTTATATACCTTGATGGATTACCAGTGAGAAAATTGGTTGGGAATTACTCAATTAAGTGATCTTTGACAAATTAACACCGTAGTGTTGAAGAAAGACAAGGTCAAGGCAGAAAAGATACAACTGGCAGTGTTCTTTGAGCAGCTGGAGCATCCCAGTGCTCTGAATAGTGAGGGTGACTGCTTGTACAGCAGTGCAGGTAACAAAAGTAACTTCCCTATCTATCAAAGGATGTATATCTGGAAAAAAATTATCTGAAATCTCTGCTTACTCTAGATTTTTTTGGTTTTGGAAATGCAAACTGAATTATTGTGTTGCTGTGATTCAATAAAGTGTTGCATTTACACCTATAGTTAACAATGAGCATTTCTATGTGACAGCAATGAAATTACTGGTACAGTTGCTTTAATGTTAATTTGTGTTTGTAAGGGGAGCAAAGGTCCATTCCTTTAAAGTATGGAAGCAGCTCTGGGAATCCACCAGGAATGCAGTCATCCATTGACTGTTATTTTTGCTTAGTGTTGGCAGTATGCATTGCAAAATTGCTTCTGAAGCATAGGAATTTGATGCCCTTAAAGATTCTAAACTTGAAAATGAGACCTCCTTGTCAGACAAACTACATTATGTGCTTTTTGATGAAATTTACTTTAGATGTTCTGAAAAGAATAATTTAAGTGCTCCATTGCCTCTTAAATTAGAGACGAAATGGCAGCTGAGTCTGCTACTCATTTTGCCATATGGATCCAAAAAGTCATAATATGGCCAGAAGCAGCTGGAGGGACAATTAAACCTTTTTTCTGGAATCATTGGGGAATAGTTCTACAACTGCATTTATCTGTAAGCACCTGCTGCCATTGCAGCTTCACATGGTCCTTGCTGGTGTTGATGCTTCGTGGATTCTGTGTGGTGTGTTTGCAAGTGGTTCCACATCTCAGAAACATGGAACAACTTGTGTGAGGTCATTGTGTGCTCATCACCATCACTTTCCACCCAGTTCTGCCAAATTTTGTCAGTTTTGCAGAACATGACCAACTGATTAGAACTGCTGAATACTCTGCCTTGCAGTCTGGTTTTCATGGGTAGCTCACTCACAAATAAACACTGCACACCTGTGTTCTGTTTATTTAGATAGGATTTCTCTTTATTTTGGTATCCTTGCAGCAAGGGGCTGTTTGTAAATAGAAACCAGCTGCAAGTATCAACACTCGAGTTTACCAGCTGGAATTGGGCCATTATGAGGGTGAATTGGGGTTGGGAGTTTCCTCATGGTCTGTGCAGCCTCCCCAGTGAGGAGCTGGGGCTGTGTTTGCTGTTCCTGTCTGTGCCCAGTTACACTCACATGAATTGGAAGCCTAAAGCAAAAAACATTGGTTTTTGCAAGCAGGGTGGTAGGACAGGCTGGGCTTGCTTCAGTCCAGATTTTCATGACAATCAAAATTAGGGTTGTTAGTTTTGGCTTATAACCAAGTCTGGGAATACCATAGGAAATGTGGTAAGGTCAGAAGAAGAAATTAGTGCATGTGATACCAGCACCTCCTGCACCATTCCTGTCTGGTTCCAGACGATGCTGTGTGACTGCCTACAAGGCTTAAAATCCACGATGATTTCTTATAAATCACTGATCATGATGGAGGGGATATTTACATTTTGTCTGTAAAATGTACTGAGTGCAGGTACAACTCTGAGGTGACGGCTCTCCCAGAGATTGCTTTCTCATCATGTGGTCATGAACAGAATGAGAACAATTTTCCCTGCACTGGAAACCTCCAGCATCCATCACTTTACTATGTTTCACTTTTTTTTTAACTGCTTGTCACACCTTACATTTTAAGGTCCCTACAGAGTGTACTTGTCATCCTGTTAGTGTTGTTAAGATTTCTTCCCTTTCCCCTTACAGGAACACAAAATCTTTATTTATAAAATTTAAAGTTCTTCTAGGCTAAAAAGGTTAAAGTAAATGCCTTGTGAGTTGATAATTGCAAACGCTGCTGGCTCTGTTATTGTGACACCTTTTCATTTTCTCCCTTCATCATTGGTAAATCACCTTTACTGCAAGTACCACAGGAATTCTGCATGGGCCACCCAAAGAAAAAGAAAGCCAGAGTCCATTCAAATTGTTTAAACCAGGCACAGACATAAGTTCAGCAAAGGACTTCAATGAGGTTAATAATAAGGAATAAGTTTCCTGTACACTTAAAAGAATATATTTTAAAACATTCTTGCATTTTTCTCAGTTTGTGTGTTTGATCAGCTGCACTATTTGTATCTGACTCTGAAAATTATTCATCCTGTAAAGTTTGTGTTAGCAGTGGGAGTGTCTTGGAAATGCCCTCTGGAGATACAAGAGAGAATAGCAGACCTTAACCTACACAAATTGGGGATTGCTGTTACATGGTAATTAGCACTGAAGATTTGAGTTGCTAAACATTGTGTCTGGCTAGCAGAGTCAAGCTCTGAATTGACCCTGCTTCTGGTAGAAAACTAAAATCAAACACTCCCTGCTTGCTCTGGAGTACAATGACAGTTCTACAGAGATGTAAACTAATGTGTTTGTCTGAAAGAAGCAGAAATAATTTCTGCCTACAAAGTGAGTTTTTAAAGAACCTTTAAGGCAATAAATGTACCATTCATTTTTACTTAGACTCTTTTGTCATCTCAAGTTCTCCTGAGGGCCACTGATGTGTGTTACAGCTGCAGTGTAGGGTGCATGCTCCTTATGGATGTGAAGCTAAATGGGCAACACAGATAAAAGCTTTATAGCTATTGATGGAGCCTGTGAAATGTGAGGACTTCTGTTCCTTTATCAGATTAGCTGTGAAGGGCCATGCTCTTCATAGCTGTGGAGATCCATTTAAGGCACTGGCAGTGTTCTTGTTGGGGTTTAAAGGTGACTGGGACACAAAGGCTGCTGCTGGTTCTGCAGTTTGTGTGGGTGTTGCTCATCCTTGGGGCAGGGGGCCCTTGGTGCTGGGCTGAGGAAGGACAGACCAGCTGCAGTTCTGCAGCAGACATTGGGAAGAAGGGGAGGAAGATAAATCTCTGTTTTGAGGGCACCCACAATATGTCAGTCATTACTGGCAGTAGAGCTAAGTACTGACAATCACCAGTCTGTCCCCAAACTCTTTGGGGTTCAGATAAACCCCCAAACACTCTGCTTTTGCCATGCCTTGGTGTATTTTGGCAGATCACAGCACTGGCAGGGGGCTCCAGGCCTTTGCAGGGGCTGACAGGGTGGCTGTGCATGGTCACACCACTGTCTGCACCCCCTGCCCACTTTGGGGGCTGCAGCAGCTCCAGGTGCTTCAGTTGGTGCTTCAGTTTATCACAGACAGGAGGAAGATGAATCCCTGGGCCTGTAAAGGAGGAATTTCTGTTGGGTTTTTCTATTGTGCAAATGGAGAAACGTGAGAGGGTCACTCTGCTGACCTGTGAGCTCCAGGGAGCAGTTCTGGGCTGCACCCTGTGTCTGATGGCACAGCCTGGGGGCATCAAGTGGGCAAAAGCAAGAGAAGTTTGCGGTTCCCTGCTCTGGTTTTGACCTGCATACACTGGTTCAGGGTAGAGCAGGCCAAGAGAACAACGTGGTTTGTGCTGGCTGCAAAGGAAAAGCAAAGATGTTTTATCCATGATGGTGGGCAGGGCTGCAGCAGCCCCTGAGCCCCCAGGGGCACCCACTGTGTCTCCAGCTGCTCTGGGAGGGGTGCAGGAGCCTGATTCCATCTCCCAGGTTTGGAGAGGCTGTTTGACTGCTGAAACCTGAATGGGAACCATCTGTTATTGCAACACAGTGGAAAAGGCTCCATCAGTGCTACATGTGGGGTTCAGGAGGACACAGGCACATCAAAGAGAGCCAGAATAACACACTGGGAGCTGTGTGGCTACACATGGATGTCTGCAGGGGATTGCACTGAGTTCCTGGTGCATTTGAAGTTTAAATGAAGGGAAAAGTAATCAAGTTTCATAAACATGCAACTTTTACCATGACATCACTAAACCCAGAATAGGTAATGAGTTTGATCACCAAGCACATTGGAAAGCTAAACAAACCTTTTGGCCAACACTTCTTTGGCCTTTGAGCATCCTGGATGGTTTAGCTGCCTGTTCTGGAAAAAGCAGAGTAGCAGGATATGCAGCTTCATGCTGTAAATGGCCTTTAACAGACTTGATGGCTTTCTCATGCTTGTGTTTCATTTTGGTCAGTTTGCAGCAGTGTCAGCACCAATGGAAAATTCTGCTTTTCACTTCTCAGCAGTGGCTCCTAAGTTAATGGAATATTTTGCACAGGTTTGAATATTGGAGTATTTTTTAAGCAGAAATTTCTCAATTGATGATTTACCACCTTTAGCTGTAAGTTTTTAGGTAATCTGTACTACCTGAATTTATGGCTGGTTTTCTCATATTATTATTTTCAGTTTAGATAATCTGTACTACCTGAATTTATGGCTGGTTTTCTCCTATTATTATTTTCAGTTTAGATAATCTGTACTACCTGAATTTATGGCTGGTTTTCTCCTATTATTATTTTCAGTTATCTGTTTGCCCTAGCACCCTTACTTTCACGTTAAAATATTTTAAGGGGACACTAACTGTGAAAGTATATATGTATTAAAATTGGTGTTATGGCATTTAGGCTGTAGATGTATTGGTCTTCAGATCTGGATACAATTTTGGTTATACATTAATTTCCTAATATGTATTTGAAGTCAGTATTTAATATCCAGGGTGTGCTGGAGTTGACAGTACTTGCAGCACAGTTGTGTCAATACAGTACAGCCCCCATCTTGTTCAGTTCCTCAGAACAGTTCTTCATCTTGTTCCACAGGGTGTTGGCTTTTGCATGGAAATTTATAATTGTGAATTGGATGAGGGTCTCAATATTCAAAATAAAAAATATTGTGGATTGAACCTTCAAGACTTCTTTCAGACTAGTGCCTGGGCCAGACACAGGCTGGACATGGTATTCTATAAGACCACTGCCCATTTCTGGTGAAAACAAGAGGGAGCCAGGCCCCTCCATGCTGACTTTATTACTGCTTTTGTTTATCATTTAGAAGGGGAAACCTTGGGGTCTTTCTGGGTAACTGCGATCCCGAGAATGTTAAAAGTCTCTTTTCCCAGCCTGGCACTTGAAGAAGGAGTCAGAGTTCTTAATTTCTCAGTCTCAAGGTTGTTTATTGTTCCTTATCTATAAAATTCTTTCTCCTGCCCTGCCGAGGTTTGCTCAGCAGGACAGTCCAGGCACTCTGCCTGCCCCAGGGTGGTGTTATGTCTTTATACTAAAAACTACCTGTACAATATTTACCATAACTTCCCAATGCCTATCACCCATGTTAGACACTGAGCTTCTACTCTAAACCAGTCCCAAAGTGCCACCATCACAGCAGAAGATGGAGGCCAAGAAGAAGAAGGAGAAAGGCTGGACATGCCCAGATTCCTCCATCTTGCCTCCTGAACCCCCATACCAAAAACCCCAAAATCTATTTTTCCACCCCATGATAACTTCACTATTATTCTACCTAAACTGTTGTGGCCTGCTGATCTCCATCTAAGGTTGGTAACTTGCTCCATGGGTGACAATCAAACCCACAGGTGTTTTGGGCTCTGTGCCAGGGTCTCTGAGCCCCCTGGCAGGGTCTGGGCCGTCCTGGACAGCCGAGGGATGTCCTGGGTGCCCACAGGGACACTGCACTGGGCTTTCTAAAAACATCACTCCTATATAATGATGCTCTCTGTATGTGCAGCCCTCTGACCCTCCCTGAATAAAGTGGCATCTGCTGGCCAGTTTCAGGCAGGTGTCGCTGAACTTGGCAGGAACAGAATTGTCTTTGGGATTTGGAGGCAGTTGCTGTGGGCTGTGCAGTGTCCCTGGGGGTGAGCTGGGGGGCTGCATGCAGGGAGGAGGTGCCCAGGCAGGGTGGGAGCAGGGGCCCTGCTGGGCCTGGAGCTGTGGGAATGTGGCTGGCAGAGCCCACAGGCAGCAAGGTTCCAGTGCTGCTCACTGAACAACTTCTGTTTTCTCTAAATCTGCCTCCTGGTGTAGAGGCTGCCCAGAGGAGGTGAGTACCTCAGTGAGTGCTACAAAGCAGCTGCTAACTGCCCTGGAGCCCCTCTGCATCCTTCCCACTGCCTCCTGAAAAGCTCTTCCTCCTCTCTGCCCCCCAGATTTCCTCCTTTTGCTGCTCTGCAACTGCCAAGCTTTGCATAGAGCTGTTGATAAGCCCGAGCCACCACGTTTTTGGTTCAGGATTTTTTAGTTTGTGTTTCTGTACTTTTATTTTTCTAGAAATAATTGTGTGATGCCTTTATGCAAAAGCTGTGCTATGAAATAAAAAATGTTTGAGTTTTTTCATCCCCTAAATAATAACATTCTTCTCCCCTGGAATGTTAGGAATGGTGAGAAGATTGGGAAATTGGATTGACTGTTTCTGATAGGTGTCAGATTGAGCCTGCAGAATGATGGAATGCTAAGCTTCCATTTAGGGAATAGAATTTCATCCTTGGATGGTGCTCCTGTTCCTTTCTGTGTGTAGTTAGTGACTCCTGTGGGGCAGCAGCTTCCCTGAGCCATGGTATCCATGTATGGCTTTCCAGCCTTGGGAATGGAGGTGCCAGAGCTGCAGAAGGTGAATGTTTGTACCAGTGCTCAGGGGTGAATGTTTGTACCAGTGCTCAGGGGTGAATGTTTGTTCCAGGGCTCAGGCACACAGAGCTGTTGCCATCCCTTGGGAATGACCCCAGGGATTGCAGTGCCAGTGTCAGTGCTGCTCTCTGGGGGATGGGTTGGTGTTGGTAACAGCTGGAACTCAAGGAGTGCTGGAAAGGTTCAGCATTTATAATGATAACAAGAAAACTATTGCAGTAAATTGGAATATTTATTCCTATTTCTGATGTGAGCTCATCAAACTGGATATAATCAGCACTCTGCTCTGGGCTCCAGCATCTCACAGCTCAGAATAACAGGAAGTAGGGCAGTGGCCTAAGAGAACATTTCCTGGGTCCTGTGAGTTAATTACAGTGGGGTGTTGATTTAAGAAAATGTTGAGAGAGGGAGAGAGTTAGAGCTGAGATTTGCAAAATGTATAGAGCAGTATGAGTGACCGTTTGTGCTGGTTTGGGGTTTTTCAATTACCAACCAAAACCAATTCCAAATCATGGAATAAATTCCAGATCATAAACACTTTTTGTTTAATGCAAAAATAATTTTTCATATTTTATAATCCTTTAGAATTAATCTGAACATCAATGATGTATTTACGTACTTAAAAAAAATCAGAATGCTTAGGAACTTTACAGTATATTTACAGCTGAGATTATTTACCAAGGTTGGCATACTGTAAGCTGAGACAAAATTTCACTTTCTCGTTGAAGACACGTGCCTTGATCTTAAAGTATAACAGTTTTTCTGTGTCATCACAGATGATGCTATTTGTCTGACAAATAATTTGTCCAATTATTTGTCAGCTGTTTGCATTTCAAGCCCGCTGGTGTTGAGGCCTCAGAGCAGGAGCCAGCAGTGGAGGATGAGTGCCTGAGCCTTTATTAGCTGCTGCTTTGTGCTGTGGATGATTTGTGGCCCTTGTGCCCCTGGCAGGTGTGCACCCTAACCAAGGAGGACAACAGGAGAGTGGGGGTGATCCCGAGCGATGAGCAGCTGCACGTGCTGCCGCTGTACAAGATCTCCCAGACCGACGAGTTTGGCACCGAGGAGGGCCTGGAGGCCAAGATCAAAGCCGGAGCCATCCAGGTGCTCACAGCATTCCCCAGGGAAGTGAGGATGTTGGCTGAGCCTCTCAGGGCTGCCAAGAAAAAGAAACCAGACACAAGGAGGACCCCGAGTGAAAAGCAGCCATTAATAGATAAAAAATATTCAACACCGGTAAAACTGAAAACTGAAGCCCCAGAACATCTTGGCAACGCTTTGCATTGTTTAGGTGAGTGATACTTGGGAAATTCTACCAGTCTGTTCTGATTCTGTGTTCTGTTACACATCTGATGGGAGGGAAAAGCCCCTTTAAAATAAAGCACTTGTATATTCTGCATTTTAGGGGTTAATGAACAAGTCACTGCAGCCAGTGTTGTCTCATGGGGCAGAATAAACCTCAGGTGATCACCCAAAAATAGTTTGTTGGTGGTCTGTGAACACCTGTGAAGTATTTCCAAGTTCCCTTATTCTAATAAATAATGGCAGTTTGACCACCTTGAAAGAACATTGTTGGAATTTTGACCTAAATAAGCACTTGAATTTGTGTCACTTTGAAGTACAAGACCTGTGTTCTCCATTCCTGTGGCAGACAGTGGCTTTCTCAGAACTGAGCTGTGACCCTTCCCTGGCAATGGCATGGACAGTGCTGCACACCAAGAGCTGTGTAAAAACCCCAGATTTCATCAAGTGGCACTGCAGATTGTCCCTTGCAGGGCTGTGGCAGGAGCAGGGCAGGGCAGGCTGCCAGCAGCCAGGGAGGTGCCAGGAGGCCCTGGTGGCTCCTCCTGTGCCCGTGGGCAGTGCAGGGCTGTGCCAGGCTGGGCTGTGCCTGGTGTCACATCCTGGCTCAGGCCTCCAGGGAAGGGCTGCTGCCTGGGACTGGCCAGTCCTGAGAGACAGAAAAGAGGAAAGAGGTGGAAGAAGCCATGGAGTTAAACTCCCTGATTAGCTGGTGAAAAATAAATACAATTAAAGCACAGCCTGTTAGGAAGAAGAGAGGAAAACTAGCCCATCTGCTGTAATTTTGAATTTCATTTCATAAGAGACATCCAGACTGTCTTGGTTTGGAAAAACAGGTGCCTGCTAAGGAAGGCAGGAGCCTCCCCTGAAATGGAGAAAATGAACCCCCCCCCCAATTGCTATAGGTTTTAAATTAAGGGGCTCTCAGGCAAAAATATGGGAGAGGAATAACAGTTGTTTAATAGGGAAGAAAATAAAAGGATAAAATAAATAATGCAGTACACTAGAACAACACTGACAGAGTCAGAACCCAACCTGACACCCTGTGGGTCAGGGTGTTGGTGGCAGTCCCATTGGAAATGTGACTGCAGCCCTCCTGCAGTATCAGGGGTGGTTCTGCTGGAGCAGGAATCCTGTAGAGAAGGATGTATTCTGCCTCTGAAGATCCAGTGGAAGGAGAGACAGCTGCTGTTCCTCTGGGGAATCCCATGGAGAAAGCCGTGCTGGTGTCTCAAAACCTCTGGATTATATCTGGGTAGCAATGCTTGGCTCCTCCCTCTGGATTATATCTGGGTAGCAATGCTTGGCTCCTCCCTCTGGATTATACCTGGGTAGCAATGCTTGGCTCCTCCCTCTGGATTATATCTGGGTAGCAATGCTTGGCTCCTCCCCCTGGATTATCTCTGGGTAGCAATGCTTGGCTCCTCCCCCTGGGCGGAGCATCTCCCAATGGGATGTTACAGTTCTTATCAGCCATGCAGTGACATTCAATAGTCTGTTATCAGCAATGTCCCCTCCCGAGGGAGGTGTGATTGTGGTCACTCAGAGAGAGAGATAAGGCAAACTGCCCACTTTGCAAAAGACAACTGCCACACAGATGGTAATAAATACATCTTGCCTTGCAGTCTGGAACACAGACCTATGTAGCATTTTTAAGGGGAGGAATAACAGGTAAATGTTTCAAAGAGTATCTTCGTTTTGGGGGAATAACATTTAAAAAACAAGTAAAATGCATTTGTTACACTTCCATAATTGAGTGCTGAGAGTTGTTAAAACTTATTTTTACAGAACAATCTCTCTCCTGACATGATGGAGAATGCAATTCTCAAATGCTGTGTTTAAAGTCTTTAGGGCAGAGGCCTTGCCCTGGGGTGGGGGCTGTTAAAGTCATTAAACACTTTGTGGTTTATTTCACAGAAAGGTTTTTATAGACTTGATGTGGCCTCCTCCTGTCCCCATAGAGCTTTCAGTTTCTGCATACTAACTATTGTGCCTCTCATTATCCCACTTTGACTTTTGTGCATTCCTATGGGAGGAATGTTTTTAATTCTTCACTGATTTATAAATTACTAGGAGACAGACTAGAAGAACAAATTATGCTTCTACACTGTGTAAAACTATTAACCATTGTGTGTATTTAGGGAATAAAGAAACACTGACAGTCCTCTGTGAGAGTAAGCAAGAGCTGTGTGGGTGCCAGCTGCCAGCAGAACATGTACAGCCATGGCAGGGCATGGCAGAGCCCAGCAGAGTCAGTGGAATTCTTCATTCCATGGGCTCTGAACCTGCCCATGGTGAGAGCGGCCCTGGGAGGAGCCTGGTCCCAACCCAGCCCAGCAGAGACAGCCGTGGCTGCAAACTAGTTCAGGGCTGACACAGACTGCACAAGGATGCCTGCAGAGAGACCTGAAATAGTGGGGCAGTTAGATGGGAAGGTGCAAGGCAGCCAAATCACATGACTCAAAATCCATTTTATAGGGATGGGTTTACCTGGAGCATGTTGCCAGATACCTTTTTTTTTTAAGGTAATTTCTGAGTCAGCATTGGAATACATGAGTCATTGTAATGCAGTAACTGTTTTTGCTGTGATGGACAAGATCCATAAACATGCTTTTTCCTTTCATTATAATGTGGGGTTAAGGCAGGCCAGAATTTTAACTGATTCATAGACTGAATTTCATCAATTATGTAAAAACTGAAGGCCAGCAGTCAGCTGCTGGGAAGCATTCCTGTAGGCCTGGGCTGTGTGAATTGGGAATTAGTGGTTATTTAATTTTTTCTGTTTATTTTCTTCATCTCTCACTGAAATACTTTTTTATTTTATGTACCAGCAGCCTGACTGGAAAAGGTTAAGGCATTAATTGAGCAAGGTTATTTTATATGTATGTGTGTGTGTGTGTGTGTATACATATATATATGATAAATATATGTGTGTGTATGTATGCTATATATATATATATAAAGAGAGATGTGTACAGTCATAGACATACTCCTGGAAAGCTAAAAATAATAATTTTGAAAAATCTGTATCAGTGTGCATTTTTCATGTTAGAAAGCAAGTATGCAAATAGAAGAGAGGTATTTTATTGATTGAGAAGTACTTACAACTTTGGTGTGCATTTCTTTCTTCTAGGGAACAAACCAGATGCTTTAAAACCTGGAATAAAAATGGAGCCTTCCAACCACCTTTATGCCATGAAACATTCTTCAAACACTACTAAAAATTGCTCTTTACTGAAGCAGTACACGGCCTCCTCCCCCTTTAAGGTGGATGGTTTACATCCTTACCCATCCCTCGCACACAAGTCTGGCCTAACTGCAGTGACTAATATTCAACAGGATTTTTCAGTTCCCTACGGGTATTTTGAATGCAGTACCAAGCAACCTCACGTGCCACCTTACGTTAGCTGCAAGAGCTTTGATGTGTCAGTGAAGGATTATACTGGAATTGTGCTGGACGAGGAGGTGAACGGCGCGCCACCCGTCCTGCCCGAGGTCACTGCTCCAGGCCCCCCGGCCCACACAGAGCCCCTGCCCACCGTGCTTGAACAGCAGCCAGACACACAGAACTGCCAGCTTCAGCTGGACACCTGTGCCCCCCCGGAGCAGATCAGCTCCTGTGACCCAGCGCTCCCACCGAGCTCCTTGGCACAGGACGCCCTCGCACCCGCGGCCGACTGCTCCCATGGGTGCCCCGTGGAAAAGGGCAGCTCCCATGGGGGACAGAGCTGTGACTTGGACTGTGCTGATGTAAAGCAAAGCAGTGCGCTGGGACAGGCAGCTGATTCTGAAGAAAAGGCTGAGGAATTGTGGTCAGACAGCGAGCACAATTTTTTGGATGATGACATCGGTGGGGTTGCTGTGGCCCCTTCTCACGGTTCTATCTTAATTGAATGTGCGAGACGTGAGCTCCACGCTACCACGCCGATTAAAAAACCCAACCGCAATCATCCCACCAGAATTTCTTTAGTTTTCTACCAACACAAAAATTTAAATGAGCCAAAACATGGCTTAGCCATGTGGGAAGCGAAGATGGCCGAGAGGGCGCGAGAGAAAGAAAAGGAGGCGGAACGATTGGGAACGGAGAACGCCGAGCTGGGCTCCTGCAGCAGGAACGCAAAGCAGCCAGGTGAAAGCAGAGATATCTTTTATGAAGACAACGAGTTCAACCAGATTCCATCCCGCAGAGCACTGACAGTGACCAAGGACAACGTGATCACGGTGTCTTCGTACGCCCTGACGCGGGTGGCGGGGCCCTACAACCACTGGGCGTAGTGCCCGTGGGGCCGGCACACGCTGGTGCTTTCGGGGGCTCACACAGAACAAGCCTCGTGTCCTTTACTCTTTGCTCATCTCAACCATTCTAAGGCTGAGGTAAAAACAAAAAAAAAGGGGGGGGATTTCTTCTTAAACTGTGACTTTAACATTTGGTGGTGCTCAAGCACATTTTAAGCAAAAAAAAAAAAAAAGTTGTATAGTTTTAATACATTCTAAAGAAAGATTTTGGTTAGGTTATTAACCTTGATTGAATCATTCAGTTTATTACCTTTAGGAATTTATATTTTGGTGCTTTAAATTGTCTGTTTACTACAAAAATCATTTATAGCTATTTTAACAGGTTCACATTTTATGGTGTTAAATCAAGTTATACAGTTATAGCTCTACACAGCTCTTGGTGCTTAACCACATCAAACAGTTAAAAATAAATAAGCTGAATTATTACTTCATGGTGCCATTGCTTTAACAACTTCCAACCATTGCTGTATAGTCCAAATCACAGACCAATCTTTTAGAAAACCCACTAATTTTGTTTTTTAGATTCGTCAGTAGAATGAAGTTATTGGTAAGGATGGCTGGAAGTTGTTTCTAAGCTGTAAATATATATTTTAAAAGCACTTTCTATTTTTAAAATTAACTTGAAATAGTATAGTATAAGGATCATATTGTCTAAGGTTTGTGCATACTCTACAGAAGAAATGATTTTGTTCTTGCTGTGCAGAGTTCCATGGTGTTACAGGTGCAGGATGTATGCTGACAGCATATGTGGTTGTTTTGAACTTGCCCTTTTTCACTGAAGATTTTATGTTGCATATAAGCAAGCAGTTATGAATTATAGCCCTTTTTTTTCTTTTCCAAGAGAGTGTACAAACGTGGAAGAGGAGATCTCTGGTCAATCTGTGTGTTGCTATTGGGAGTTATGAATATTACCTGTTTTTTTAAGGCAGCATTTGTTATGGTTTCTTTGAGCAATAAGTGCATCAGTCTCATTTGTTTGCAGCCTTCTAAGTTAACGTGGCAACCAAATGTTCCTAATGCCTCAGGGGTAGGATTGTTTTGGGATAAAAAGCTACCCCCTAGAGCTGCCTTATTCTATTCTGATAGAAAAAATAATTTGGGAAAAATACAAAGGAAGTGTTGGAAAACTATCAAATTTCTAATATTTAGCAGCAAAGTTTTTGTTAATAACCTATCTGTTATATTCACCAACTTTCTGAGTTCAGTTTTTTTACAAAAGTGTTTTGTAAATTTTTGAAGCAATTTATACATTTGACATAGAAAAGGTTGCATCCTTCCTTGAAATTTATGTTCTTCATTTCTGTTGAGAAAGTGACATATCACAAAAGGAGTATTTGCTAAACCAGAGGAAAAACAGACACTCCATTGCTTTTAAATACTGTAGCATCCCACTCTTCTTTCTGATTCTCCTCTCCTATGTATTTCTTGTTTAGACTTATTTATTGAATCAAATTACCAAATGACAGCATAGCTAAGGACTGACCTCATCCTGCAGCTTCTTCCCCGTGAGCCGGCTGTGGGCAGGAGGAGCCCTGGCCCGGGGTCCCTGGTGCTGGGCAGCCACAGCCACAGCTGTCCCCTCCTGTCCCCTCGTGTGCCTCAGCCTGCAGGCACAGGGGGCACTGCAGTGTGGGGCATAACCACATACTTGATACAATTACACTGTAGTGGTGCTGTCTAGAGGAGTAGCAGCTATCTGGATCTGCTTTATTTCAAGACAAGGTGCTTTTCCCTTGAGGAGCTGGAGTGCAAGAGCTCCACTGCAGTTTGGTACGAGGTGCATCAGCGTTTGACACACAGAGCCAGTCAGGACCTTGGTGCTACAAATCCTTTGGTGCAGGGCAGATCCAGGAGCCTCCTCTGGAGCCAGGGCTGCAGCAGCAATCCCTGTGGCGTGATCCTGGCTCCAGTTCTGCACATTCCTGGCCAGGTTGACAAAGCTGTTAATGGCAGAGGGTGGAGGAATTGAACCAGTTCTTTGGATCTTACCTATTTGAAGTAAAACCTGTAAAAACCGGGTATGCTGCAAATTTTAGTTCAAAGCTTAATATTAGTTCAGATAGAGGATATGAAGGGATTGTAAATAATGATGAAACAGAACCAATATTATGGCATTGTTTTGTACCAGCGGTTTTATGCTTATTGACTATGTAATATACAGTATACATCAAATCATTATGGTATTTTGTGTGCCTTAGATTTCCATTTTAAAACTTGTATATTTTTGGTGAGCCGAAGATGAGTAGGAATTGCAGCTGCCCATCCAGTCAGTGGTGCTGTACATTCCATAGCTGCTCAGCCATGTTCTTGTCCCACCATGCAGAGATTCATTTCTTGGTTTCTGATAGCCCTGACAGCTTCAGTTTCTGCAATGCTGTAATTCAGCACTCTGGTGTGACAGATTTCCTACACAAAGTTGGTAAGCTACAGAGCCATCTCTACCTTTTAAAATGTTCATACCATTAAAGTGGATCATTTTTACTTGAATCTTCTCCTACAAATGCCCACATTTAACTTACTGGAAACTTCAGATTAAAATGTTCCATTGAAAAACCAGCAGCTTCCCTCTAAGAAGTGAGGCACTGAAAGGTGGACCTAAAAGGATCCCTTCAAACAGGTAGCCCAGCTCTACCTTTTCTTGAAATGGCAATTCTAACAAAGAAATGTGTATGTTAACATAATTAATACTATTAACTGATAGGTGCTAAACTCACAGTTACTACTTCATTAATGTTACTTACATGACAGAAATAGATCACCCACACAATAGCAGATCACCCACGGTGCTCCTTCCTTGGCTTTCACCTAAATTGCTTTTTCAACTTCTCCTGCCAGGCAGGCTGGGCACTTCCACTTCCTGCTGTGCTTTGAGAAGCTGATCCTTTCTGTTCTCTACTGAAGTATAGGAAATGCAAATATTTACTGCTTTTACAACTCTGTGCTATTTTTTGTAACACTTCAGGATATTTATCAGTCTTGTAACATAAATTGCATTGTTTTCAGTAAGGTTATCATTTTACAACAGTGTTTATCTCTTAAAATCTTCAACTCTGTGGGTCTGTTCTTTCCTTTGCAACCCACACAACCACTTGTAATTTGCTCTTAGGTTTTAACCCAAGTCCTTCTTGGATAGCCAGACCAGGAGCTGGATCAGAAATGAAGGTAGCTGGCTTGGTCAGACCTGCATGTTTTATTTGGTTTCCAGATGCAGGTGTGGGCTGGCGGTGGGGTGTGCTTGTCTCTGGATCAATTCTTACGGTGTGCCAGGACAAACTGTCGTGATCAGCACAGGGCACCTCTGACTTCCCAGAATTGTCTCATCCCTCTGTCCCCTGGCTCCAGTCCCACAGCCCCACCTGCCCTGGGAGGGAGGAGCAGGGCTGGTTTGGCTCCCTGGGGCACTCACTGCACTTGTGTCCAGTTAAACAGTGAATTTACTGATTGTTCACGTGCTGGTGTATTTCAGGAAATAGAAATATTTCTATGCATACTTTAGTCACAAGATCCAAGAAGCTTTTTAACTACTTACAAATACTTGCAGCTTCCAACCTGCAACAGTTGTATTCAGATTTTTTAAGGACTTTCTAAGAATGTTAACTGCTGGTGAAAGTCCTTGTGTTACCTATGACAGTGCTCCTCTAGATGTAGAACAGAAATAACAAGCAGTTAATCTTGAACAACATTTTATGTTAAGCATGGCTAAATGACAACTTGCCTAGTACTCAAGATTCTACCATACAACTGTATGGGTTTTTTTAAAGAGCTTTTTAATTTCATTGTAGTATTAACTGAATATGGTGGATTAAATCTGGGTCCTGTTCACACTGCTGCAGCCCTGCTGACTGCAAAGGGCTCATCCATGAGGTTTTCAATTGGATGGATGTGGACAACAGTGGACCAACATTTGTGCCAACTCAGAGGTCACTCTTGCTCTTTCACTTCCCATGTAGCTTCTCTAATGTTGAAATTAGCTCCATTTATCAAGCAGTCACCAGCTTTGTAATCCATTTATGTATTTGGTTGTTCCTTTTCCATAGAAATCCTGTCATTTCTAGGCTGTCAGGAGGAAATGGCTGTGCTCTCAGATACAGAAAACTCAGTTGCATGGCCACTTGCATGCTTTGTGTGTGTTAACACCAGACACATTCAGGCAGTGGGGAGAAACTCCTTCTGGCTGATTGTGGTCACTGAAATTCAGGTTAGGGTCTTTGTGATGTGTGCTCCATGGAATTGGGTTTGATCTCCTGTGTGAAGGGTGTGCCAGCTGTGAGCTGGGATGAGTTAAATAGAGATGAGGAGCAGTGCATCACTTTTGGGAATTCCTGCTTTAGCAGTGTTGATGGGACTTGCAGGAGGAGGTGTGGAGGGAATGTCTTTGTATGGTACTGCCCTGCAATGTCAGTGTCCCAGCACTGCTCTGGCCAGTGAGGTGTTTCATTGTGGGTATTGGGTACAAATTCACCCCTTTCCACAGTTCCTCCACAGGCAGAAATCTCTCCTTTGGTCTCTGCCTGCATAATCTGGTTTACAAAAGCATCAGAGGAGGGAGAGAGTTGGCCCCCATTGTCAATGTGCACACACAAACAAGGCAGCAAGTGCTGCTGTCATGGGCAGCCTGCTGCCCTCTGCCCCAGCACAGGGAGCACAGAGAGCACAGGGAGCTGCTGCTGCTGCTGCTGCTGCTGGAGCTGCTGCTGCTGCTGCTGGCCCTCCATGGTCTCCAAGGTCCTTTCCAGCCTTGGTGATTCTCTGCACAGCACAGGTCAATCACAGGCAAAGCTGTGAAGGTACAGTTGGGTTTTGAGTCAGCCTTCTGTGTACATGTGGTTGCCATGGTACTTCTTGATCCTGACACTTCTGTTGGCCATCTGACTTTAAATTCAGTGGCTTATTTTATTCAGTCTGTGACACACTTAACATTCTCCTTGAATCTAAACAGTGACCGGTGTCAGCAGTCCAGAGGATGTGGCTGCTTACTC